TGGCCTCATTTTCTCCTTATCGAAGTAGTAAAGTAGGTAGGTAGTAGGTCTCGCCCTAGTGCAAGGGGATTGACCTCATAGCTGCTGGATTATTTTCATCCCATCGTGTGACGTTCTGCATTACAAGGCACTTCATTTAAAGTCCCTCACTGCCATGTTGGTGAGATATTCATAAATGTGCAGTTACTCCCGTAAGGTGTTCACCATAGACGCTTTCATCTCTACCAAGACGTTTTGGAGGCTACGTTGATTTGTCTTACGAATTCCACTGCATTTAATGCAATTAATCAAGGTGACCAAGCCATCTTCCCCAAGTGCCTTCTCTCTGCTACCGCATTTGGAGGCTTTTATCTGCCTCATGGGTTCGACGCTTTAGCGTGTTCGGCGCTTTTGTGGAAGAAACAATGGTGTAACTCAAAACTCAAACGATCCATTTAGTGTATCATATTATATTAAGTAATTGCACAATTTGGTTTATCTCTTCCTGGGTTTGATTGAAATTTGCAGAAAGAAACTGTTCGGGAAAATTGAATACCAGACACTGTTCTACCCACAGTCTTCTTCATTTTGGAAATGTTGCATCGATCCCTGATTTAAAATAAATGGCTGGTGGCTGTTTGTGTCACTTTTTTCGCAGAAGCATGTTTGCGTGCGTTTTAGCTAACGAAATGTGTCCTTGAATTTTTCCACCTGAATGATTACACAACTTCCTCACTATGTTTTGAGCGTCATTAGTCAACCTTCAACAATCCCCCATTCCTATTGGGTGCTTGTTGGTGACCCACTGAAATCGAAGTCATGACGAAATCCTTTTAAAAATTAGTTTGTCAGTGTAACCACTCTCATCGTTGGCCGATCTTTACCTTCAATTCCACTTCATTGCGATGTGCCAACACTTGAAATAATGACTCCATTTGCTGAACGGTAGTGAAATACTCTCATTCTAGTTTGAGTGCTCTTCTTCAGTCATCTCCAGCTCATTATTTGACATCTGCCGCCTCAATGTGGTTGACAGATGCAATCAACCAACCAGTTACAGCTTCCGCGAGAGAGCGGAAGAGAGGTATTGGTGATTTCGAGGGTATCACTGGTCTGAGCCTAATTTGACAGATTGTATAGGAGAGGTTCAATTGGGTTAGGCTCCTTTAGGTTGTCCACTTTATCATAGACTCCAAATCAACTTTATCAAACATCGAATCCAACAAATTGCCAAAATCAGATCGGATCAAAACCATTTTACGCAATATCCCGTTCTAAGATGGATGATACTCCCGCTTGTTTAATCGCGAGATGCGTAAGCGAGTCCTTGCCACAATTCAGTCTGTCCGAAAATAGCCGCTCAACGGTGCGCATTCACAACACGAAAGAAGTAAAAGTGAGGTGCTTGAAACGTACTAACATCTGCTAATGTGCGGCATTTGGAACTTACTTACTCACTTACTTATCTAGTGGAAGTGCCAACAGGACACTTTAATCCCGATTTACCTTCTGACCCTTCGCCGGTCAAATCAATCTTTTAAACCATCTCTGAAGTGGTGTACTCTGCCACTGCATCTTCCAAAAATGCCATAAAGTGAACAGCGCAAGAGGACTCTATAATTCTTGCTACATGCAAGTGCCACATATCGTAATTGCCGCGCGATACTTCAGGCAATTTAATGCAACAGCGAGTACACTAAGAGAGCACTAACTTTTAAAGTATCTTTGGCGCTAACATCCAGTCAACATCACACTTGGCTTTATTTAGTTATCAGCGTTAGTCTTAAAGACTCCACAGTCTTCTAAACGAACTTCACAAAATAGTGCCAGGGACAGTGGCTGATCGGTACCAACAACAGCTTTTGTTAATTTTCCGAAATTGGGGCTAATTTATGAAGGTGGAGGGATCCACCGGAACTCTCACCCCAAAGGTGTGATATGGCATTGGAGGGTTCATCAGCAATGAGGTGGTATGCCAAAGACTGACGCCCAGATGCGGTCGAAGCGGTGACTGAAAATGTGGTGGAGGCGATTTTGGTTGCCCATTTCATGGCATGGTGTTCTTTCATACCTATGCCGTCCGAGTCTTCCTGTACGTTGACACCTCGATACAAATTGGTTGCTCTACGTATCACCGACAAATTGTAACGAAAAAAGCAATAGCTTCAAAATTGGTTTCAAAATCGTACAGATTATGAGTTTGGTAAGTTACAAGAAATAGCAACCCACGGCTAGTAAGAGAGCATCGAGTTTGGTTATTAAGCTTTTTAGTCGCACCAATCGGTTCGGTAAGGCTTGATGATCCAAATTTCAAGTTCTGTAAGGTTGTCAACCACACTTTAGAGTTGCAATGGTTCGATGTTCTTCCCTAATGCAAGGTAATGAACAACGGGATGGAAAGAATAGTAGACCAAGAATTGATGGGATGAATTAACCACCATATTTCCCTATTAGGAGGTTGCTGCTATAAAAGAACGACCGGACTTTATGAAGCATATATTAGGCAAAATTACGGCCAAATGTCCTGTAATTATTTTGTGGTCTTTCCACCTTTTGATCACAAAAGTCTTTTACTGTTATGATGTTTGAAACGGAACTGCTGGAAAGAGGGATAGGGGTTCTACGTCAAGCGGGGATCGGGGGTTGTCTGTGTCTTGACAGCAAATCGTTGTAGGGGAGAGATATATTCACAATCTGGGAGGAGATAAAAACGAGTCACGAGTCAATTTGTTCGTCTTACTGATGCAAATTTCTGAGTACCTCCTAGATTCTATGACTACATCCAAAAGTTAACGCCACAATAGTCTACAGCTTCCCATTTCAGTAGCAGCTACAGTGTTTCTGTTCCACTTAAATCAACTTCAAAATTTTATAAAGTAAATAGAAAATGAGTACTACGAGATGATTAAGACAATTAAATGCACCAACTTGATATGCTCGTTCAAAGCCACAATAGGGGCCTTCCTGCTTGCCATGGCGCTTCCTTTGGTGCAACAAGTGGAACGCTTACTGCTGATCACACCAACGACCAAAGTCACGCCTCAGTCAAAAGAATTATGAATTTTATTTTACGGAGATTATACTTTACTAGCTCACACCCTTAAAAAAGAAACTACCTTACTTGGGAGCAACAGTTATTTAGTTTACGATGGTGCATCCACTTTTCTCATATCAACGTCAGTGTTATCATGGCAGTACCTAATGGAAAAGTACAAAAAAATGTAAATAGGCGTTTAATTGGTGTCAGTCGATCAGGTAGATAAATGTATTTTTTAAATAAACTCCTAAGATCACCACATTAGTGGTTCCTAATCGCATTAAATTAATGAATTCAGCTATAAAAATGAGACTGTTGTATTTTCAGGAGGAAATTCTTTTCTATATACTATTACTAGGTAAGCATTACCTATCGACGATCGTGTTGGGGGAAATGTTTTAGCCATGTAGCCTATTTCCCGTGCTGATCTGGCGCAGGAGAGGTGGAAATTCCAAAGCAGTCTACACGATTAGGTAGCATTACTGGGTGCTCCAGTGGTGTCTTATGGGCATACCCGTGAGGAGCAAAGAAGGATCCTCATAGCCACCCCACTTTACATAAGTGCGACTCCCAGCTGGAAGATATTATTCGCAGCACATGATGACATCATGATTGGGGTAGGCAGTTAGTGGATGTGACGAGGCACGTTTGATTGTACCCTAAGTACAAATGTAGGTACGGCAAGAAAATGCTGATGGTGCACTCGGGGATTGCCTTACAACACTTCAGCTTACTTTCATTTCCCATTTGGGTACATGCGTCCTCAAGGCTGACATGGAAATGGTTGGAAAGATGTAGTAAACAACTGGTTTCTCATTTAGAAAATTTTCCCTGGCCTTTTCCCTTTTTGCTCACTATCCCTTTCTATGGAATAAGTAGTATGTTTTATGCCTTTGGCGGATGAACAGATGAAGTGAAGACGTTAGTCAGCCATCCTATCAGTGAATGGTGCTGGGACAGGCTGAGGTCAAGCCTAACGTGTTGATTAGCTGAAGCGGAGACTTGTGTGCTACGTACGTGCATGGGTGTGACGGAGGCACAGTCCCTACGATTGTACGAGTGGTGATTGTCCAGCCAATCATGATGGAGCAGGCACTTGTAAGTTAACAATTCCTTCGGGAATGTGAGCGACATACTCGTCATGTATCGGAAGACTTACTAAAGTGGTGCTGATGCAGTTTGTGATGTCGTTGTTTTCATTACTGATGTAAGTTAATCGCTAGGATCACCATCTCCGTTCAAAGACTCTCCCCAAATGTAAAAAAGTGTGTTTGTCTTCGTACATCCCTACAATACTGAGTGTTTCTTGTACCAGCTAACAACACGATGCCTTCTCATTTGGGGCGAATTTCGAATTCTTCGAATCTTGTGACAACCGTATTGTCAAAGACTGGTGAGTGTCTGCATTTATTCTAAACAATGTTAGTATTATTGAGGCTTTGATTTTCACTGGCAAGCTTGTTGACGTCCGAAGCTTTTTATACGTACTTCCAGACTCTAGTGGCAGCTTTGGCGAAACCGAACTTCCTTAAATGTAAAATCTACCGTAACACCATCAAAAGCATTTAACTTGGAAATTAAAAGCTCCTCTTTGAAGTTGTTTGATGTTAACAAAAGTTAAACGGCCGGTCCTTGAGGCAAAAAGCGCCAGTTTCTGTAAATGTTTTTAAATTTTATCTAACGACATCGAGATTGGTCACCGTTTAGTCTACTTAAATCACTTAAGCGCATGAGCAAGCGATACGCGCATAGCATTCCAAAGTGTCACGATTGTCAACAGAATAGATGCGAATCAACGCGCAATAAAAGCAATGAGGAATGAGAGGGGAAAGATAATTTAAGATGAAGCAGTATGAATCACATCGAATTAGAGAAAAATACAGACAAAGCGACAACCCAACCAACAATTACTGAAATATTTTGTACAGCACGCAATATTATGCGGAGAAAGGCATTTTGTTGCAAATTAAGTTAAGGCCAAAGTTCAACCGGAAGTCTGTGCTTTCGAATTTGGTGGAGAGAGGATAGGTAGGCGCTGTGTCATCACTCCTATAGGCACCGGTGGATCGCAGAAGTATCGATCGCCAAGGAGACGGTACTTGCACATGGTCAGACGGTATCCACCGCCTCCTCTACCAGTGCCTCCTGGCAAGGATTCCGCGCCGAGGGAAAGAACAACTCCACTAGGAAGACATCCACCATCACGACAGAATTGCAGAGCAACGGGCTGTGGTGTTCCGGGACCGCGGGTCAGGAAGAACTTGGCGCGAATGTTGCCCGAGACATCAACTCCAGGATGTTGCTGTTGATGAGCATCACCGGTGGTTAGAGGAATACTCCAGGATGCACGAGTCTGTTCGACGTTCCAGGTACCCAACGGACGACTCTGCATCCTAGCTACGCCACCATCAACCAACAAATTCACGCGCAAGTCCTGACAACTAGAGGGTTTGGAAGGAATGAACTGAAATGGTTGATTAAAGCCTTCGAATTTAGTAAAACTAAGCTGCTGACAGCGTACCAGTACAATAGACGACTTCCTTTCAAAAAAAAACACTTTACTAACTTGGCAGTTGGAACAATTAGCATTATACGTTTAAATATATTGACATAAAACTACCAAAAATCTCAACCCTTTCATAGGTGATAACACCGAGACAGATGGGAATTTGTCCTCCTACATATAATATATACAGTCAACTCCAACTAGATTGTCAAACAGTATTGATTCCACTTTGATTAGCTTAAAGAGACCCCAAGCACCTGATTTCAGAGATGTTTGCTTCAGCATTCCTCGAGGAGGTCAGGGATGACGAAGAAGACCATTTGGGCCACTGAACAAAGTAGTCCAGTCGAAAGTCGGTGGTGCCCTTCTCACAACGCCAGAAGGTGCACATCGTTATTGGTGGCGGTAGACCCGTCGCCTCGACTGAATATTCTAGTAGACACAGTCGCGTGTACTCCTCCTCATTCTCGTCAGCAGCCTTGCTCTGAGTCTCCACGAGGTAGTGGTACAGCAGGTCCCCCGGGATCTTCACCTGATACTGCCCCACCCCCTCTCCACTCTCCAACCTACGAAGTAGAGGCACAATGAAGAAGGAATTAAAACCACATATTCGCTTGCGAATCCGTTTACCATTCTGTTGACTTTCCTCGCTTCGTTCATTAACACCAGCACTCTTGTACGTGTGGGTACTGACACAATTTCAGTAGGGTAACTTATAAATTTCTCAGTTGTCAAACTACCATTTACAAGTTTTTTCTAGAACCTTTCTAAATATTGGATTGCTAGGAAGTTTCCAGTATCAGACCACTAAAAGTGACGATTTCTAGAGCTTTAAAAGTGGTTCTACATTAAGCAAAACATCACTACGTCATTGAGGATAACTAGCAACGTTACAAGGGTTGCAGCGGTAGGTGAGCCTCAACCGGATGCTCAATAATCCCACCTTCTTTGGCTGGTCACCATTCCCAAACGTCACAGAAGGAAGGAGTTTGCTATGCATGAACAAGCGTTACCGAGACGAAGTTACAATTCCCGACAAGCCTAAAATTTCGAGGTCTGCACAGGAGCCACTTATGGGTCGAGGTCAGGTTCCAACAAATGGAAAGCGATCGCTAAAAAAAAACACTATATGTTCTTGAAAGCAGCGGTTTCTACAGAAAGCGAAATGAATGCAAAAGTATCACCTAGTGTTTAAAACCATTCCTTAAATCAATGCCTTCCTAATTCAGCACGGTTTTTTGAATCCCAAATATTTATGCGACATGCACCACAACCAAGAGGCATCATTCTCCATCTGATGCAAATTCATTGCCAAGTCTTCATTACAATCGAAGCAAAGGAACGACGCCTGAAATAAGAGGCCGCATAGCAACCTGATGTTTATTTAAGAGAAGATATTTTGCCACGAGGACCTTGGAGGACATGGGAGCTTCTGACTGCAGCTATGATAACAATACACCATTCTGTGACAACAATGTACCCCATCATACCAAAAGAGAGGACTTGAAGAATTACGTTGGTAGGAGTGGTACGTGTACCTGATCAAATGGGCAATAATCCTGACCTTGTTGACTCATCATCAGCTGCCTTTTGTGGATGACTGAACTAACAGAGATTCACCGCATAAGAGAAATAAAAAGGACATCAACTTCTAGTAAACGCCTAACGTTGTGTCGTACAAAGTGGTCGTGAATAATTAAAGCAACGCCCAATTTGTATCGCTTGGCAATGCCCGTAGAATAATTGCTTCCAGAAAGTCAGCTCGTGTATCTCACTAAGCAGCATTGCCTTTGGGCAAATGTTCCTACGAATGGAATTGAAGGCATACAATGCACTCTGCAGAGCATCCATCAATTCCAAGAAGGGTGAGGACAGTAAATTCCGCATGGAAAACCTAACCATACACCTAAGGAAATAAACGGGGTGGAGTATAGACAAAAAACGAATGATATCCCACCCTTATTTGTTTTTGAGTGATTTTGAAGGCACAATTTTTAGTAAAGGAAGAAAAATAGGCCCGTGTAGGACAACACGAATCGATGCGATTTTTGCAGTTATACAAATTATATTTCAAGAGACAAAAACAATTATTCCTGTTACCACTGTTTATCTCTTTTATTTCGGATTCGTGCATCATCGTGATGAATACAGAGAAAAGATTTTAAAAGTGGGAGATCTGAACTGAGATGAAAGAGGTAGGCAAACTTAACCAGCTGAAAGTAGTTACAATAAAACATGATGGGCGGAGAACGAAGAATGAAAATGAGGCAAATTCACATCCTCTTCCTCCCTAAAATCCTTAGGTTCAACTCTTCTCACGGGTAAACCATACTTCTTCAAAGAAAAATGCAGCAAAAGCCACCTACTGTATACTGACGCCACTGAATGGCGCCTGGACGTTGTTCATTCTCTGCGCACGGGAGAAGATGAGAATAAGAGGCTTTAGGCTCCATTTCTGCGAGTGGATTAGAAGACGCAGGTCCTCCCTAGCCACAGCTAGAGTCACCTGTCCGAAGAGTGATTGGGCTGGGCGTTCGGTGGTGGTGAAGGAACTCCCTCCACCGTTGGGAAATTGAGCTCTCCACGTCTCGGTCAACGCGATTGCGATGGGTAGTGGTGGAATTGGAGGTGGAAGTGCACGGGGCTCGGTAGAAAATCGCAAAATCTGTAAAGTTTGCGGAGGTGTCGGTGGGGGAGGTGTAGAAGTGTCGTCATCCTCCACGGCCGCTAGTGGCGCGTGGCAAACCTGGAAAAAGGCGAAGGAAATAGGCAATTTTCTACTGCTACCTGACTCCCGAATGTGCAAATATGATCGTGCTTCGTAGTGTACTTGAAGAGATGGGTGGGTGGTTACTTACCGAATAGAGGGATGATTCGTCTGAATCCTGAAGGAAGCACAAAAGGTGCATCAGGTGTTACCGCTAAGGCAGCAACAACAACAGCAACAATAACGGGGAACAACGTAAAAGATGGGGACGATGAAACATGCGTTAAGCATGGCAGATGATGTGGAAAGAATGGAAGCAAGACGAATAGCAACAATTGCTAATACCTGTTTTGTCAACTGCCATACATCTTCAACCGTTGTCTAAGGTGGAAGCGGATGTAAGGAGGATGGAATCATTGATCATACAAGTGCTTCTTTTCTTAACCTACACTGTAAAAACCTGTACCTTGCAAAGTTTGACATTGTGTTATCATCCTCTGAGACGATAATCTAGGCATTCTATAGCCCTGCAATTCGACAACAGTCCAATGGAACTCTGGTCATGACACTAGTAATACAAGTCACTCAGCGTCTTGAAACTTTCATAGCCAAGTTGATTCCCAGCTCTAAAGCTGCCCAAAAACTTTCACCTCAGTTGCTTCACCCGGTTACTACAAAATATGCTCATTAACTGCGGATGGCTAATTCTGCGAAGGCTGTTGAAACTAAGTCGAGTGTTAGCAATTAGTCAGACATCAAGTTCCGCATCGTGATTTGTAACGAGATAAAGTCAGAAAAGAAAGAATCAAAAGATGCAATAAAGCAACAATGATCTAAAAATAACTCGGATAGACAACTAAACAACTTTGAAATGACAATGAAGTTTAAGAAGGACCAATAAAGAGAGGGTGAGGCTCAACATTACCTTCCTTATCGTCAAGTAACTTCTGCTTCTGAACAAATACTTCTACAGAAAATCGTTTTGGAGTATCGTCCAAATAAATCCCTTCAAAGAAGTTTTGAAACAGATTAGAAGGTAGAAAAACGCCCAGTGAAACCAAGAGGATACACCACACTCGATTAATACAGAGAAGTCTCCTCGCCGCGTCGAAAAATCATAATACCGTATTTAGCTACCAGCTGATTCCACATCTTAGAAGAGTAGTCACTAGGAGCGTAGAGAGCGGAGGTCCAAACATGCTTCGGTCTCTCGTGGATGAACCTTTGTGGCGAGAGTAATATGGAACCTATGCGTGTCGATAGAGCTACCGCTACACCAGTATCTGCCGACATTTTCACCGAAAATTTGAGAACCACTTTTTTAGAAAAAATTTGAAGGAATAACTAAATGAAAGATAGTTTTATCCGCACAGTAATAGGCACAATACACAGTGCATGACTGCACGTCTTCAGATGCCATAAATAACACCACAATAAGGGGAAGCAACACCATTAAGCCAACCTTAGCTCCTGCAGAAGCCACATGAGATGGTTTTGAAGCAGTCCCAACCTCATCACCGTTATCTCGAAGGTCAATTAAGCGGTCGTAGGTTTCGTTAGTGTCGTCAGGCGTCTTGAAAGTATCCTCCCAACTGCCTACCACCTTGGGTGTAGGAGTGCCTTCGTCATGTTTTAATAATCCGAAGGGGTTGAAGGATTCCTCGTTCCCCTTATCCGTGATGGCCGGTGCTTTAGAAGATTCATCTGGAAGTAGGAAGAAAAAAGTGAAAAGGGTTTAATCAGCGCTTTGAATAAAATGAGAAAAGAGTTTGTTAGAGGTGATTCCTGGTATACTTCGACGATGATGATGGAAATCTCCACAAGAGGGAAGTTTTTTGAATGGGTCTAAAAAGACGGACAAATCAGTGGATAAATGAATAGATATAGGGGGTTTGGATGGATTAAAGATGAATAGATAGAGGATGGAGCCTAGGATGGAAGGATCTCGGACATAGGAATAGGTGGATGGGGACCTGAATAAACCCGGGAATGATAGCTCCAAAGATCACAGACAAGCTCCTTTACTCCTTCTTATTTGTACTCGACCTCCCCGTCGACTGGAAATCGTATCTTGTCCTGGAGGCGGAGGTAGTATAGGCACCAGGGGGGCCTTTGCCACAGAAATGGAACGGGTTCCCATGACACCACCGCCAGCGACATCTGCGATACCTGACGTGGCAGAAGAGATGCTTACAAAAGGCTTGTCAGCTGATGTATGTGGTCGACGAAAGTCGCGCGCGCTGAAGGAGGTGAGACTACGTAAAGGGGTCAGAGGTGTGGAAGTTGGAAGAGTGAGCTCAGTAGCGCCTGGGGATAGGTCACCGAAGGGACGAATGTTCACCTAAAAGCACCAATCCGGCAATAAAGATGATCTTAATGGTTTACCGTTTAGAAACGGACTTATTTAGAGCATAGTCTTAGCTCCAACTTTAACATTTCGAAAGAAATATGATAAAAAGTTGTAACAGTCTTCAGTGTAAGATCTGTTGTAGAACTGGACAGCTAGAAAAGGTAATAAAATCTTTAACTCAAAAGTGAAGCCGGCAATTAATTTGGGAAGAGTTCAATTCTGAGAGATGAATCTAAATTTAAAAGTGGAAAACCCAAGATAGGCCAGGATAGCAGCGGATAACATAAATGAACTGAAAGCGGATGCAGTGGAAAGAATAAGTAGATGAATCCATTCATCCTCAGCTCAACGCGTGAATTAACAGATGAATGAAGAGTGTGACCTCCCAACTAAAAAATAATACTTTAAGCAGGTGTCATATTGTTTTTAATAAATATCTGCAGTGAACATACAAGACGCTATTTCTCAATTTGTGATCCTATTAATAGGGTAAGCTAATGATGCTGCGATTGGATATTTATGCAACCACAGGTCTTGATTTCTCAAAACGGCATGGCTTTCTGGCCAAAACTACAGCCTCAACAGTCCTTCTGTACTCCCAACAATAAGCCTTCCTTATCTATTTCCATGCCTCGGGGAGGATCTAGGGCGCCATGGCTATGGTAGCGATAAGCAAACACTTTTTTTGTGAGGAAACATCCTGAATTCGTTTACTAATTACACTGCAAAAGGGAGACATCTGCTACTGGAGACTGAGTCTGTAATGAATAAAGTGGCATCGGTTTTCGACAAATCCTCAATTTACAGTTTTACACAGCATCAAATGGGAAAAGCCCGAGTTTTGCTTTTAAACATTTAAGCCAATGTGGTCACAAACAATGAATGCTATAAAGAATGTTCTCGCTAAAGCATATCACCTATCCTTCATAACCATCATCACTTGGCATGAAAAAAAACTAAAAAAATTCCAGTCACGCCTACAGCTCACACTATCTTCCACTGTCTTATACGGGTTTATCGTAGTCTTTGATCCCAATCTCACAGGTACTTGCAGTTCATGGAGAAAACTTGCCGTAGAAACAATGACCACGAGAAGACAACACTCGAAATTGAGGAAAGTTATACAGTAAGGCGATAATTATTTAACTGTATATTTGGTAACATGGTCTCCAACCTGCGCAGGTCATGGTTCGGCATGGCACCGTAGCTATCCGGCCATGTCCACAGCCCTTCCATCCCTTCAGCACGCCACTAACAAAACTTGCCTTTTCATGAAAGGTCTCACTATGCTTAACGTAACAAATACTTCAAGCATGTAATTTGAACGTACGTTCATCTTCAAAGGAATCGGCAGAACAGCGTACAGACAACCTCGAAAGAGACCAACGAACAGTGTTTGATCAAGTAACAAGCGCCCACACAGAATGTTGACCCATAGTTTAAATGAGACACTCCCTTCTGAGAGGTGAAGCTAATCCTGAAAATAGGGGTCTGAGACGAGATCGAGACAGCGGTTAACAATGCGAATAAGCACAAAAGCAACTGTGGTGGTAGAAGGAGGCGACAAATACGCCCATCTATCTCAAACGACTCGTAATGGTGAAACTGCTTCAGTACCTGTTGTGAATTGACCTTTGTGTGTGAACACAAACGCTATTGAGCCCCGAACCGGAGTAAGAGACAAAGGCTTCAATACATATGTCCGCATCGCTAACAAGTCCAAGACGTGTAAAAGGTACGCAGATGCATGACTTCTAACTCCTAGAAGCACGGGTGATTTCCTCCACACATATTTAGTATTTTGACTAATATCACAATCTACTTGTGCGTAATACCAACCTATCAGAAAAACGAAGAGAGCCCAGGTCTTAGGATGGTCCAGAATGACAGAGAATTGGGCATAAAAAAGGTAACTTCTTCAAACTCAAAATAGAAAGTTGTCTCAAATTTTATACTTTCCTAGCACAAGTATTAAAATTACCTCTAATGGCTTGTGTGCGTAACTATGTAGACTCAACAAAATACGGTCGAACGTAGGGCATTTTCGCATTCGCAGCTGATCCGCCATGAGGCAAAAACAAGGCACTTTTAATGGTTTCGGATCAGCAACTAACATCTCAAATAAGCTTGGCCACCTTTTATGAGTATTAGAACACAGGTCTACTTCAGTTCCAAGTTTTGAAGGACTTCAGGCACATCTACCCAGTCACCGCATTTCATCGAACGAGTGGAACATTCACGGAAGCTTTTTCCAAGCTAGTAGAACCCTCTTAATTAGAGCTTCTAATGTAAACAAAAAGTACTGCTCGTAAAGGAATTAAAACGACGTTAAACCCGACATAGGTCTCCCATTTAAAGATTACAATCGCCTGCAAGAAGTAGACATCTCGTTCAAATGTTTGTTAATCAGCCACTTCATCCCTTAACCCACCTCCTTAGGGCTGCCGTCCACACTGCATTGCATTGATGCGGTTCCTAATACCACTCGAAAACGCACATTGTTGCTGTTATTGCGATGGATAGTGCAGAAGTGATGGGAATCGGGAACGCCGAGAACGACGTTAAAATAAGGTGGAGAAACTGGGTAACCCCTCAGGTGAAACAAATTTAAAGTTCCATTAGTTCGTCACTTATAACAGAAGACAGACATGCTTCTGCAGAAGGGTAAACAAGGCAAACCGCCAGCCATCAGTTCTACATCAGAGTTCAAGTGACTAGAAGTAAAAGATGTTATGAAAAAATGGTATTTAGTAATCACTTTCCCAATCCTTTTCCTCCTCAAAACTGTAAATGACAGCCAGTTTGAAAACCAATTATCCATCTAGACCTCCTTTTAATGTCAAGTAAATCTAGTAACAGTGGGATAGATATGACGCCTTAACGGACCACCAGTTTAGTCTTGCGCACCAAAATGAACGTCAGAATAGGTGAGGCTACAAGCAGATGCAATTAGCACTGGACTTTTTTTCAAAATCAACTATGCCGACTCATTCAAAAGAAGACCAATTTAAGCATTGAGATCCGTCAAGATAAACTAAAAGGATCAAAATGAGAAAGACGGGGTGGCCAAAAAAGTTGGTGAGGTTCTCGGTGGTTTACAATAGTTATTTTATATGACATGTGAGAACTTGTAAAACATATGGGATTGTTTTAATGCGCGCGCTAGGCTGCAGAAATCAGTTCCAGTCAATTGTGACCTCTACCATCTTCCTCCTGATTTGAACCCTCATACCGTCGAATATCCATTGAACTCGGTGCACGTGATCGGTCTGTTGCAAAGCTGAAGAAACATCCCGTCAAATTTTCTGTGTAATCTTTGGCGAAGGTGCAGCATGGGGTAGCAAAACGTACCGCCCAGAATCAAATGGTTGAGTTGCTCCGATTTTGGCGGTGAATCATTCAGAGGTGGATGCGTCGCACTGAGGAGGAGGGGGGAGAGGAGAGGGAAACTTTCTATTCTTCATCATGAAAGAATTATTAGGATTTAGAATAGTAGTGAGTGGTTAGTGCGCCAAAAACACCTTCAAGCCGAGCGTGTAGCGATGTTAGAACAAGTATTCTGCAGACACATCAACTTGGAAGAGAATGCCTGGGGAGCTGGTAAGCAAATGAGTCCCATCAATATGGACTAACGGGTGATGGGAGGCCTCAAGGACTATCAATTCGTTCTTCGCTTTTTTCATGTACTTTATGATATGAAACGTGATGTTGTGAGGGCATAACTTGCTTACTGACCGAAAAAATGACTGACTGAATGATTTGTGATAAAAAGGAGCTTTGTATTTGAATGTCAAGTAAACAAACAAATTGTGGGTTATAATCACTAATCCACCACAAACCCCCAAGCCACTCATTCACTTGCCGCCTCATCTCCAGAAAGCTAGCCTTGATCTGCTCGAGCGTATGGTGCAAAGCTGGTGTGATTGTCCACAGTGCACTTCTTGCCGAAGCCCAAATAATAATATGGACGGGATTATTCTACATGGTATGACACCATACGAAACAAAATAATCAGACTAGCCAACGAGTAAGAAGAGTTTGTTGTTCTTAAAAGACAACACAAGTCCACATACCTCACATCGCCGCATGGTTCACCCGTGAGAAGAGTTGAACGTAAGGCCTAGAGGGAGGAAGAGGGCGAGAAAATGCCTCATCTTCATCCTCCATACTTCCTTGGTTAAATTTATCAAAGTAATAATTACTCTTCATTGGCATAAGCACTGGGACATCAGGATGCAAAATGGTCACTTTAGAAATAGAATTGAGAGGAGGTGACAGGTCTGTTTCTTGGCTACCCTGCATAAAGGACCAAATAAATTACTTGTGAGTAGTTTAATAAGTGCTCCAGGGTTTCATCTGAAGTCCCTTCTTTAATCATCAGCTCTACAATTATTGGGGATGGGGTGGATGAGGCTGCACCTACCTAGATTCGTCTACGTAAGCGACGTCATTCAACAGAGATGAAATTCATCAAAATAAGCATTAAAAGTAGCAATATAAATGCGGTCAAGATCAGCTACCACCGATACCCAAGGCTAACTACATCGTAGAGAGCTAGTTTCGTAAATACCCACCAGTTCAGCACTAGAAACTTGGAGAAAAAGGATAAAATCAGTAAACAGACAAAACTGTGCTGATTTACGCTATTGATTTTGTAAAAAGGACTATTAAAACTCACCATTTTAGGATTCGACTGATGATGTGGTTAAAAAAGCCTAAGGAATACAATCGACAAATGACATCCAATCAAGGTAGAAGTAGAAATGTGAAAGCAACAGGCCGCTCAAACAAGCCAAATTAAGGGAATCCAGATATCTTAGAAATGGAATATTCCAACCTTTTTAAACCTTCCACAACCTCAAGAATAGCTCTATGTGGGTAAGGGATAAAAGGTAAAGCAGACGCACCTTTAAACCCTTGAAGGTCTTCTCACTGGGACTGCTGCTGCCACTGCTAGAATTAGAACTTGAAGACGGAGGTCTCGAATGCTCACTGGCCCACGGATTAGCTGGACGAATATTGTAGCCGTCATCGTCCACCTTGGGACAAGTGGATGTGGATGGCTGTACTACCTTGGAGGTCTTTTCACAGGGACTGTTGGCTAGAAGAGAGGAGAGAGAAGATCACACATTATTTCCAATCGATCATACCTAGACAAGTCACATTGAACTCCATCCAAATCAACATTTGGAGGTCTTTTCACTGCTAGACTTGTACATGCCGCATATTGAACAATATACTGATCTTCTCTGGCGCCCTTCTAAGGATGACCAGCCAAAGTGCTCCACATTTTCACGAGCCAAAGTACCATATTGGCTTCCCATCCCATGCGCTACATTATTTACACACTCGTTCGCCCCTAGTAATAATTACAATTCGCAGGAAACTTCCGATGCTAGAAGCAGAGAAATGCTCAGTGGGGGAGCCAAGGACAATACTTCAAATAATAGGGGTATTCGCTCGAATACACAAGCCTTTTAGTTATCTCACAATTCGGCTATCATGCTGGCAGCCTCTATAGGGCAATAATAAAGGCACCTCTAGCCTTTAAGACCTCAGTGTCTTCAAGAATGAATTGGGAGGTGCAGACGAATGCATATGCAAAGTGTGACCGCTTAAAAAAGAAAGTGGTAGGTCGTTTGAAGGAATTATAAATTACAGAAATGTAATATTTATTCGATTTTAATACTTTATATACTGTTCTAATATTTGCTCAATTTCGAGTAGAGGAGCCAAATACTATGTCTTAGATGTTTACTTTTGACTGAGAGTTGACAGCTAAATGCTTCTATATAACTTATCATTGACAGAAGGGACGATTCCGCTTAATTTCAAGTAAAACTAAAGGTCTTTTGCAAAAAAGCCCGTAACGTTGATAGTTGCGTCGCCTGTTTTTCCCTCATTAGTGTCGCTGATCTCCTTGACGAATTTAAATTTGGATTCAAGGATGTGAAAGCTTTCCGTCAAATTAATTGCATAAAATTTGAAGGCGGCGTGGTGGTAAAACATGATACGAAGAAACAAATAGATTCACGAATGTAAACTTGGTGATGAATCCATGGAAAAGCGAGCAGATCAAGTTTATGAGAGAATATTCTTGATAATGAATAAATTAGGTGTCGCTATTGAGAATAGTTCGAGACTACAGTGCCAAAAAAACCAATTCCGGTCATGAGTAGTGGGGAAGAAAATGAAGTATATCTTCTACATTAACATCAAATAGGGTTGAAAAGTCGTAGCAGCAAATGGGTCCGACACGCATACATTGGTAGATGACAATAAATTCCAGACTATCAATTTGTTCTTCATTTCTTTCGTACACTTTATAAAAACGTATATTTGGGATAGGGTTTTCTGTTAACTGATTGACCAGCTTGTGATGAAAAGTACCTCTGCATTCCAACTTAAATAAACAGATCGCTGGTGTGCGTGCGTGCGCGAGTATTCGCGATAAATTGTAAACGAATTGTCAGAATTGATCACCTGCTCAGGGCCAAGCGACAATTATGACTGAAATCATCTCCACTCGGTGATAGGATAGAGCTCAAAAATGTGCAAGGGAAAGAAACAGTCTCACCGAGGTATAACCAGGATTGGTCGATAACGGGAGAAAGTTCCATTCGTATTCTCACATGACAGACGCAATATGCGATTTTGTATACAAATTACAGCCAGAGAGGAGAATTCTCATGGATGTCCCGTGCAAATAACCCCAGGAAAGCCGTTCACAACTATTCTAAAAGAATCTGAATCCTCAAGCCGAAATTAATACCCTTCTGACACGATACCATCACAGCAGAAAATATGAAGGACACAAATAATTTTACTACCAAAGACACCCCAACAATCAAGCTATATGAACTCGTACAAAAGTAAATCAAAAAGATCTGCAATTTATCCCCTGTTCTTTACTAAGAACGAATAAAAACGCCCTTATTCATGGCGAGATGAGTCAACTGTTGGCATAAAAGCAAGTTTTCCAGAAATACTTAGGGAACCTCAGCAAAGTGAAAGAAAAAAGCTAACACATTAACACAGAAGCAGGCAAACTAGCAAAGAAACAACATCTTCCCAGTTTTATTTACACTCAAGTGACTTAATATTTATTTATACCATTTAATCACGCCAATTTCCAGTCTACAATATCTTTACTTGACAGCAGGGCAGTTCAGACACTCCCATAGCTTCCCAGCCAATCTGCCCATTAACAATGCTCTTCCCTACCATTAGGCATTGACATGGCCGTTCCTACGTAGTGCTGCTTTTATATAGCTAAGTAGCTATCCACACAATGCATTTCAAGGATAGGGGCAATAAAATGATAACTTGCAAGTCTTTCTCGGTAGACGAGCAAGATTTCGGACAGTCGCCAGTCTCTGTGCAAACGATCCCGTTGTACTCCCGCTTGAATTCACACTCACAGTGTCTCCCTCAAGTCCAGCCGAGTTCTGGCGATTTCGACGCTGGAAAATGGCGCCAGCTCGTCGACCCAACCCATTGCTATGCGTTCCATTGATTTCACTTAAGGAACTCTGCCAGGAGGGATCCAAGGGGCTTTGGTGACTGGTTACTGGGCTTTCCTGACTACCGAAAGCTGAATATAAAAACAAAGATAGTTTTCTTATGGTCAAGAGAGGAAGTTAAGAGGGGTGTCTAAGTTAAACTGAGACCATCAATTTTATAGATATGGTAAAAAGCACGTTGGTGCAGCGTTATTACATGCAGAAGTGACGGGTGCACCATATTAGCAATAGCCGTGGGCTGAGCCGACCTATAAAAAATCAAATAAGACGACATGCAAGTGACGGTGAGCACATGAATGGACTAAGCTGCCCAAGCATTAGTTAAATGCTGAGACAAGTACATATTTATATATATGTAGACAGGACCAAGTAGAAAAAATAACAGTTTCCAGTCTTATGCATGGGCTCTTTCACTGCATACACCTAAAAGTCCCTATTTCACTTAAACGTCTCTCATAAGAAGGTGGAGCAAACCAACCTGGGAGGGCGGAAGCAGCACGAAGACTATTCAAATCAGAAGTAAGACACGATGGACAGGGAGTGGACGATTGTGAAGTCAAGCCAGCATCAATGATGCCACCACCGCCGGCTTCAGCTGTAGTGTTCGGAAAGGCTGCAGCGACCTCCACATCTTCGAATTCAGCAGGAAGAGGTTCCAGACACCCTGTTCCACGTTCTTCGATCATATTAAATAGAAGATGATTGGGTGTGAGTTCCAGAGAGCGTTGTTGGTTGAAATCGGTGGCGAGAGAGAGGTCAGCGCTGCGGGACTGGACTAGAGCTTCAGAAAATCGACCAAAAAACTCACACATTCGAGTAAGGTGAGTGACTTCCATGTCCTAAAGGAGGAAATAAAGCCTAACAAAGTTAATTCTCACCTCGAAGTGGCTGCAAGATAGGCGCATTTTATCGACGAATTGGAGCCTTAGGTTGTTGTACTTCTCCACGGAATACTTATACTCGTCTTGAGCTTTCTTAAGCTTTGTTTCGGCCTTCTCTACATCTCGAGCAGAGTGAGTCTCATTTAAACGAATCCTCTCGTATTCTTTGTAACGCGTGTGATAAAGCTCCTTGGCTTTTTGCAAATGAGTTGTAGCAACCTTAAAACAGTTTTACACAATTTATTGCAGAATTTAGAAGAGGTAGCCTAAGCAGCAAAACTTACCTGGAAGGAATGCACAACTTCCTGCGTACCAGTCTCGTTCTCCTTTAAATTTCGTTGTTTTTTCTGTAACTCTTCCAAATACTTTTGAACATCTCTCCAGATAGTCAGACGTTCTGACTCGAGGTTACTTCGCAGAGAGATAGATTGTTCTAGGAACGAGGAAAACAACGACCACCACAACTTCAAACCTCCAGCAGAACCGTAAGAAGCGGCTTGCTTTGAAAGTTTACAAAGGGCTTTTGCGTAATTTTCTTCGATTGTATTGACGTCACGAAGGAAATCACAAAACTCGCTAGTGTTTTTGAAAGTGGACTTCATATTTTGAGAAAGAGACTCGAAGCCCATGTTCTTCTCACCCCAAAAAGCATGCGAAAACAAACCGTCAACGCTCATATCGGGGCGAAAAATTTAGGCTCGTCAACTACTGGCTGGAGTTGTCTATTCGCAAAAGGCGCAACTTGGAAAATACTGTCACTTATAGTAACATAAAAACCGAAATTAATTAAAAGGGGTTGTAGATTTTAAAGCCCACGCACCTAATCCCATAAATCATTCATTTGTTACAAAATTTTGTGGCCTTGGTGCAAATAAGTTAGGAAACATATTAAATAATAAAGGACACGTAGATATTATTCGGAACTGTTAAAATTCTTTCCATTAAGATTATGAAATTGGTGTTTAAATGTGCGGCACTGCTTACTAGCCGTCCATGCTTAAGCGTTTGATGTATGAATAAACTATTTCAGATGGGTTATTCAATCTTTATTGTTATCCTAGCCATTCGCAACCACCAAAGGGCAAGAAATACAATTTTTAAGTTTTGCTGACGATTTTAACGAGGCGCTTTGTGACTCATGACCTCTCTAGACGCAACAAGGTCCAGTTGCAAATGCCCACCTAGATCCGCTGCTTTTAAAAACAAAAAAATTGGATTGTTAAGTTACTGGATTAAGAAAGAACCAAACGTGGCTCCCTAAGCCTTTTCTAGAGACAATAGTAGTACAGGATGTGGATTGCCGAATTACACAATAGCTGGGGGGATTACTGGCATGGACCAAAGTCTAGTTGCCCAATGGATGCACATGGGCTATGACTTGAGTGCCCACGAAACCAATACGACGGACTAAACAGGTAATTAAAGCATTGCATCTGATCTCTCACTTATTGATTGCCATTCGCGGTACTACCCTTAGTCAACCTCCCACGTCGGCCACTCCAAAGCAGTCGGTGTTGTAAGAAAATACCCACGGAACTTGCGTGTAATTAACAAACTTGCATGCAACGAAGAAATGGGTTCCATATCTCATGCAGTTGTAAAATATTATGGCTATTTGTTTAGCTGTTCTTTTTGGTTTTACGAGCACTCGAGTAACCGCATTTATCTTTCCACCGGGCGCCTAACCTCTAACCCATGTCAGCCTTCCCCAGCCCATTTGTACGTAGGCAGTGCATATTATCTCTTGGTATCACGTCCTTTTTGATCTGCAAGAAGGCCTGGATATTCCGCATTATTGGCAGCGGAAAGTACCTCCGAACCAAAAGGGTGAAAACCCAGGTTCCTATAAATAATATTTGATCCTTAACGTTATAGGGGAGGGGCATATGTCGAAGATGGGGGAGTCGGTGACGATCTCCAACAAAAGAGCTAGAAATGACGTTTACCTTTAACATATACCCAATTTTCATCTTCTGCGAGATTGCTACATGCAAGTGAAGGGAAATCGGCCATGACACATTCGGAAAAGCTCGTTACGAAGCTGTCAACGGTACCTGTATGAAGATGTCAATTAAGTAAACACGCGATATTTATTCCACCTCTGTACTAACTGGATAGAACCCAAGCAGATATAGCTATGCAGCACTGAAGGGATAATAAATTGACAAGCATGAATCAAGGCGAAACCCTATCACCATAGAACTATTTAAACCCCTTCCTTTAATAAATGGCTCTGCTTTAGACCATTGTTCCTTCAACTTTCGATGTACATACGTGATGAGCAGCATATTCTTCATCCTTAACAAAATCCATAAACAGAGTGGAACTCCAGGTCCAACAAAAGTTTCGGGTAGAACCAGCAACATCATGGTCAAATATCTTCCCATTTGTAAGCAAATCCAATAAATATTGTGATTGTTTCATAAGTGTTTTTACTACAGCACTAGATACTTATGGATGGCCGATGTGGGAGGTTGATGAAGGGTAGGGACATAAATGACGCCCAAAAGGTGAGAAAAGATATGTAATGCTTTGATTATTAATATGAGGAGCAGTGTTGGTTATCGCCTACGTACTAACACTGGGTAATTGGACTCCAGGCCATGTCAGTAATTTCCCAACCCTTGGGTATGCTGGCATTCTACCGTCCTCCCTCGTATTACCTCCGTTCATCTTGAGGAAAGGATTGGAGCTCTACACCCTTAGTCTCCTGCATTCAAATTACACAGAAAGAAGTGACATTGTGTATTAGGTGATCGTAAAAGAACCAATTTTTTCTATTATTCATCAACATGGTTTGGAACCCTAAGTTATCATAGCAAACAGCCAATGTGCAAGACAAATTTGTTTAGTTAAGTACAATCAGTACAAAGGGGCTAAAGCACGTAATTACCTGACAAATGTTTCAAATTCAAATAATTTGTGGCCAGCATTGGACGTGGATTACGTTAAGGCTAATAATTTCTGGCAGTTGAGATGTCAGCACCCATCGTAGTACAGGCATGATGGAATATCAATTATGGGAAAAGCCCACAGTGTACAACAATTTGGGGGTTGAGCAGAAGTCACATGTAACCAAGAAAAAACAAACCTTACTTTAACAAACCTCGATATTATGTGTATTTTTCCACACTGAGCAAATATACGATATCCTCGTCTGCTTAGTCTTATTAATCAAAGAGTCTGGAGCAGGAGATTAAACGGTGGAATTTTAGGGCTGTTACACTTATACACTGCCACACTGCCAGACATTACCTTTTTCACATTGTCAGAAAACAGTAGTGTAATACGCTGTTTAAATGCATCTTTTAGGTGAGAAGCGTTCAGAGAGCTCCCTACTCTCGTCATAGAAGTCGTCTGTTCTCCACAGAGTTGAAGAGAAGTTCAAAACCCTGGCTTTTTAAAATTTGTACCTTTTCCGTTAAAAATGAATTAATAGCATGCCCTTATCGAATCAGTCTGTTCGTTTGCAGGGTTCGAAGGCCAAAGAGGATGATTTAACTGGAAAACGTGCCACACTGGCTTTTTGTGTAACTTTACCATAAGCAAAATATGGCGCAGAAAATAAACGTTTAAACGTTGGAAATTTCCATAAGATTTCACAGTTTTAGGTTTGCTGCTTTTCCATTTGATTAGGCAGAAATGGCCGTGTTTTGATTAATTTTATTTCAAGGTTAAACTCGCTTTCTTTAGTGGACCCCCAGATCTTCGCTTGTTCTCACTGGGGGGTTGTTCGTTTTTGGATATATTTATCTGCCTTAAACTTACGCACCAGATTCTGCAACCTAAGTCTTTCTTTTCGTTTTCTGTTGCTAAATAATACCAAATGGATCGGCCTCCACCCTGTAAGTTTTATCAAAGCGGTTTCTGCGCCAAGGGCGATGATTGTCCCTTCTCCCATCCCATTCAGCGTTGTCGTTCCTTCACCCAAGATGGTTTTTGTCCCTACGGTGTTCACTGTCACTACTGGCATGACTTTAAAAACTTCGCTCTGACCGCGTCTACAAATACGCCTGTTCAGAAGGTTTGTCGATTCTTTCTTAACGGTCAATGCAACTATGGCGATGCCTGTGCTTATTCCCACCAACTTGATGACGTTGAAGCACCCAATCAAATTACTCTTACTGAGTATCGACTCCAGCAACAGATGGCACAACTTTCGGCACCTAATCCTCTCATATCAGTGTCTCCCCAGTCATCAACTGCGCAAGTTCTTTCCTCAACGAATTCTTCCCGACTTGCAGTTGCTAGACCCTCTGCACGACTAGAGCAGGCTTATCGCTCTGCTTTGCAGCCGGGAGATTTGGAAAAAATGCGGGATCTCGAGGTGGACCGTCTCTTGAAGCGATTCCCACCAAGTCAATTAAAACAGACCTCGTGTAATAATGATGGAGTTAGAGCTTTTTCCCTCATCTTTTCTTCTACAGACCCAGAATGGGTAGGTTTATGTAAGAATTGGGATGTCTTATGTGATTAACTTACTGGTTCTTTTGCCTTTGTTGTAGTTACACAAAGTAAAACAGATACTGCTTTTCATTTCTCTTCCGGCTCAGTATCCATCTTCTCCGCCAATTCTGAATGTTCCAAAAACATCTGATATCCCGAACGTTGTTACGGCGTACGTCATTTTTGCCGACTATAATCAGGACTTCGGTATTTTCAGTTTTGTGTCACAAATCCCCTTCTGAGTAGCTCTGCATGACATTTCATTCTGCCAGGACTTCGGATTTAACTGTCTATCATTGCTAGCAGCTTTGATCGAGTTGGAGCTCTTTAGTATTGGTGTGGTTTCCTGGAGACATCAAAAACTTTTTGTGCGTGGTGTCCTAGAATTTCGGCTCAAGGACGATTAAAAAATATTTTATGTCCTTTAGTTTACATTTGATATTAAGATCTACAGCTACCACTGATTTTAAACTGTGATCTCCGAGTAATTGTTCTTTACGTAGCCTCCCTTGAACAAGGAAACTGCCTATAAAGTTCAGTTTCTGCTGGTTTGAAAAAATTTTTGTAGCTCTTATGAACTAGTGACTTGATAGGGGTAAAAATGTTTTATGCAATGTGCTACCCTCATACTCTACTTGATCTTGAGAGAAATCATTAGAGCGTTTAAGATTGCATGACTTTCGTACTGATGGGTATATCTATTATAAAATGCCCTGCAGGTGCCAAACCTGCCATTTGGCTATTAATTGCCTATTAGTAATTTTTTCGCAATAAATTTTCCCGTAAGTGTGGAAAATATTATTACGATTCGTGAATCTGCCCAAACGGTTTCGCGGGAAAGTCTTGGTAAGTCTACGGCATATTGGCTGCGTAGAAGACGATGAAATGGAGTTGTATTTCTTTAATTTACAAAGTACCCTCTTTTAGTAACTTCCAGTCGTTGGCTAAATGGACTTGCTATTAGCCGCCACTCTGTTGTTCAATAGTCACTGGGAAGATTTTCCGTCTACACAAATTTGCACTCCTTAAAATCTAAGATGATAAACGAATACGGAAACCAAATGCCTTTAGAAATCAGTGTGCTGAATGGTTAGTCATTTTTGCTCAGTTGAATAAAGAGATAGGTAAAGTGGCTCACTATTATCCTTAAATATTAATTCTCAGAAAAGAGACAATTATTTGGATAAAAAATTATAAAATAATATCTATCCTACTAGCAAAATAAACGAGGCAATAACCAACTGGGTGAACGAAAGGCAAAGTGCCAATGCATCCGCTAACAAAGTGTCTCT